AGATCAGGGCCAGCGCTGCAGCCAGCACGTGGGGAAGCTGGGAGAAGCCTAATGAGAACTCTGTCCTGATTGCAGCTTTCCTTAGTTTAAAATTACTTCAGAATGAAAGTTTTTAAAAATAAAAACCTTTTGATGATTTTAAAGTTTATCACTGCACAAGGTAAGCTGGGTTCTTCGGCAGAAATCTTTGATAACGGACACTAAGAGGAACATGACCTGGATCCCCCAGGACTCAAGCCTGTGAAACTAAAGCCATGAGAGTCATCTGAGAAGAGCAGCGCAGAGGAAGGCGGCCGGAAGGCCCTGCCCCAAAGCCTGCTCTGTGGCCTCCCCTCTGCATGCTGAGCACATCCTCACCAGAGTACAGCGCACAGACTGCTGAAGGGCCAGCAAGGCGGTGTGCAGTGCCCCACTGCCCTGCTCTGGCCACAGCGCTGTTTAAGTGCAAACTGCATGGAAAGCGGAGGACAGGAAGGTAATGCGTACTGAACACGGTGGCACTTTGTAACAAACATTATTTGGCAGGGCAAGTTCCCGCACCACCACCCCTTAGAACTGTTCTCCTTGCCCTGGGTCTCCTCAATCTGTGGCTTGCTCGCGAGCATCCTATCAGACAAAAAGCTGAACCTACCATTATTGCTCCTCCCCACCCTTAGCACTTTTATGACACACTTTCTAGCAGGACAGTTCTGGTTGTTTTGCTTTGTTTTTCCTTCTTGAGACAAGTTTTCACTACGTAGTTCAGGGTGAACTTAAACTCATGGTGATCCTCCTGCCTTGGCCTCCCTAGTTCTAGAATTACAGGTATGTGCCGCCACACCCAGCTAGCAGAACAACTTTGCTCCTTTGGTTTCATTTACCAATTTTACTAGAAAACTTCCAGTTTAAAAAAAAAATTCTGTTAATGAAGCAATTAAAACGCCTCTGCCTTCAGCCTTGAACTGAGCTCTAAAGAATTTGAGGCCCATCAATCAAGCGCCAGCTGAGGTGTCAACTAAACTGTAATGTTCAGTCTGGCCTTAGGGACCAAGCAGGGCAAAGCCTGTGTGTGCAGGAACCTGGAAGAAAAGCAACAATTAGTCTGGGGAGGCATCAGGCTGGAGACTGGAACCCATGAGCAGTCATGTCTAGGTGATCATTACAGACATGGACCTTGATTACCTGGGTTTAGGGAAGGGCACAGGATGAAGGTCACCCCAATATTAGAGGACCCAAAATAGAAGAGAAACCTGCAGGGGAAGGGGCAGGGAAGTCATGCAGAGCATGACGGGACAGGGCATGAAGGAAGCATTTAAGAACCAGAACATATTCAAATGGTTCAAGAGCTTCTCAAAGACAAGGTAAGGACCGAGGGTTTTTATTACGTGTGTTTGTCAGTTTTGACAGGTTTGTTGGTGCGGTAAACAGGAGCAACACGTTCAAGAGGGACACCATAAAGAGAAGCAACTGCTGCCCAAACAAGCCAAGGTGCAGGGCCCTGCAGCTGCAACCTGGCCTTTGTCACCGTCCTCCTGCAGACCTCCTGATCACCTGCACGTCCACATGACATCACCACTGCAAACCACGCTCTCTCAACAGTGCCTGCCAGTACCAGCAATGCCACGAGCTCATTTATTCGTTCACCTGTTGGTCCGTCTACCTTCACAAGGAAGTGATAAATCAGGGCCGGGACGTAGCTCAGCAGCACAAGCATGTGCCTGGCAAGCGCAAGGTCGTTTAATCCCCAGTGCCCCACCCCATATATATATATATATATATATATGAGAGAAATCAAGGAATACAGAGTGCAAGGTGGGGGAAAGGGAGTAAAAAGATCACAACATACGTGCGTGCACCAACTCCTCAAGGTGACTAATCACTACGCCTCACAAATGTACACTAATAAATAGAGAACTCTGCAAAAGCTGCTTTTGAAGAAGTGTACATTAGTCTAGGCCCACCATTCCTAGAAAATCCACTGGGTTATTTATAACCTCACTCACTACTGGTTTCTCAAAGTGGGAAAATTTCAAAACAGAAACAAAGACGGCCCATAACCTGGCTAATCTCCCTTTATTTATTTATTTATTTTTTGGCCAAAAAATTTTCTGTTGTTCTCTGTTCCCTAGTTATAATCCATCACGCAGTATTTCTCACAGGACATTTTCCACCTTAATGTTACATTACAAGAAAACAGTACTCATAAAATCAATGTGATTTTCTTTCTTTCTTTCTTTTTTTTTTTTTTTCCTTTTTGGCAGCAGTACCAGGGACGGAGTCCAGGGCTTTCACACTGGCTATGTTCCCAGGCCCCCAGCCCCCTTTTGAAGGATCCTGCCAAGTCATTAAAATGCCCAGGATGGGCTCAAACTTGCCATCCTCTTGCCTCAGCCTCCCAGACTACTGGAGTTACACAGCAGCTCCAGGAGGCTTTAAATGAAGAGATACCGTCGTCCTGGAAGACAAGACGAGAGGGGATATGAAAGGTTCGCCTGTTCTGTGGCCGATGACAGACCCATGATGTCCAGCCCTGGGTGAAGTTGGAATACTTCCAGTTAATTAGAAGGGCACAGGTGAATAAATCAGGTCATAATAACAGGTGCACTTTACAAATTGGACTTGAGCCATTCTGCAGTGTGCCACGTGGTTCCTTTACCCCAGAAAGTGGCTCCACGTCCAGACTGCGCAGAGTGAGATGGGGTACTTTAGAATCTCTCTGGGTAGCGCTGGCCTTACTGTCCCAGGAGGACACAAAAATCTCCCATGCTAAGCCCATATTAATCACCTCTTAATCAGCCTATAACCTGCCAGTGAAGTTCTGTCACGGCATGTCACTTTATTAAGTAACAAAAGAATTATGATGGTCTGTTAAAGTGCACTTTTGGGTAATAAATATAAACTACAGCTGCCATATGGTAATTCATTTCTGATGTACCAAAAGTATCCCTCCTACTTAATTTTGTTTTGGGAAAGGAGACACGGCAAGTAGGCCAATGAGAGATGGATGTTTTGGAAAATCTATTAAACCCACAGGCAGACTAAAAGAGTCGCTGTGGCTGTAGGCGTGAAGAAGGTGGGTGTCTCCTGAGCCACGGCTGGTGAGTAAAACCATGCACCTGACTTCAAACACGTCCATTTCGCAGGGAAGAGAGGCAGTGAGATGCTGGGCAAACAGTTCAGGGCTGGGGTGGAGCTCTTGCCTGCACACACAAGGCCCTGGGTTCGAACCCCAGTGCCAGAAAACAAGAAACAAAAACATTTTTCAGTGCGAGAAAAGCTATTGCATACTTAATAAGGGCTTACTGTTTTAAGCACATTTCAAAGGTCAACAGAATGATTCCAAAAATCTCCACCTCTGGAACAGACAGGACCATTTATATTATCTCAAAAGATTTTAGTGTCTAAAAGAAATAATTCATTGAAAAACGCATTCTTAAAAAAAAAAAAACAGGGGCTGGGGATTTAGCTCAGCGGCATAAGGGCCTGCCTTGCAAGCAGACAGTCGTGAGTTCGATCCCCGGTACCGATAAAAAAGAAAAATACAAAAAAAAAAAAAAAAAAAAAAAAAAAAACACGTTCTGTCTAAGCTGAACCGCCACATGCCTACAATCCCAGGCTAACTACTCAGGAGGCTGAGGCAGGAGATCACGAATTTAAGTCCATTGTGGGCAATTTCATCAGAACTTGTCTCAGTGCTCCCTGACTTCAGCCCCAGTACTGCAAAAATAAAGCAGGCTGGGGGTTTAGCTCAGCGGCATAAGCACCTACCTTGCAAGCAGCCAGTTGTGAGTTCAATCCCCGGTACCAATAAAAAGGAAAAAGACAAAAAAAAAAGTTCTAAAAATAAACAAAGCATATGCTAAGCATCTACAAGATGCCAGACACTCTTCTAAGTGCTATGGATATAACAGTAAACAAAATCTTACAATTTGTATTCTTAGTGCAAAAGAACAAACAAGGAAATATGTAAATGACAGTATTTTAGAAATCAAGTCTAAGTATTTACACTATACAAGGATTGTGGAGAAAAAGAAAGCATGCAAAATACAATTCCTTCATCTACAAATAGTTTGTTTTATGATCTAGTAGACACTATAACAAGGCTCTTTAAATAACCAATACTGGGGCTGGGGATTTAGCTCAGCGGGGTAAGTGCCTGCCTTGCAAGTGCGCAGTTGTAAGTTTGATCCTTGGTACCGATGTAAATAAATAAATAAATAAATAACCAATACTGCTGTTATAAGTATCCTATAAGACAGAACATGATTGGGCTGGGGATTTAGCTCAGCGGCATAAGCGCCTGCCTTGCAAGCAGGCAGTTGTGAGTTTGATCCCCGGTACCGATAAAAAGGAAAAAGACAAAAAAAAAAAAAAAGAACATGATTATAAATCTTTGCTTTAGAGTTGGGGTCTCACTATGTTGTCCAGAGTGGGCTCAAGAGATCCTCCTGTCTCAGCCTCCCTACTATGTGGCAGTGCAGGCCATGCCAGTGCACCTGGCTAACTTTAACAACCAAATTTTAAGTTCATTGTTAGTTTATCTCCAATTTCTTCTGAGAGGGTCCATGGCCACTTTGCGGGCTGCTCTGGAGTTTGTGAGCTCACCAAGTCCTTCTAACTTAGCCTCCCAAGCAGCTGGGCCCCAGCCGCCATGCCTGCTAGGTGATGTTCATCACATGTACTGTTTATCGCTGACAAGCTTGGGATCAAGAATGTAATCTACGTGAAGTTCATAGCGGGCCTGTTTGGTTCAACACAATACACTTTTGCATGCTGCTTCACAAAGGAATTTGTGCTTTGTTTCTCAAGGGTGGTCCCCAACAGTGCGCCAGGGGGCTCAGGTGACAGTGATTTTCAACCCTAACAATGTAACTAGTCACCCTGGCCAAAGTTCATCTTCTACAGCTGAGGCAAGCAGAAACTAACTCAGGGAAGGTTTATTTCCAATTCTAAGGCACCCTTAGAATTGGAAAGTGCCTGTCCCATAGGTAAGAAACCTTCTCATATGGAGTACAGCTCACCTTCAGGCTGGTGTGTGAGCGCGGCTGGCTCAGCTCCTGGAATTTCCACTGCTCTGAGCCCGGGGTCTCACCGCCCTTCTGAGCATCCGGCGTAAGCAGCCCATCTCCGGCAGGTAACGGGAAAATCCCTAGTGATATAGGGCGTTCTTTTCTAATGGATAGGGGAGAAAAAAATTAAGCAAGCATTTATTTTTATTTGTCATGAGCCTGGGCTACTGGTGCTTTGGGGTCATCAGTGACACTGTTGGCCAGTCCGAACATACAACCAAACCAGAGAGGAGAGGATGGAGCCTCGGAAGCTGAAGTCACTGCTAGGAGATCTAGAAAACCTCACAAGTCACTGCCACTGGTGGTGTGTTCTGATCTCAGGGCAGCGCAGCTGAGGCTCACTGGCACTGGAGGTTCCCACAGTGCCACACGGCCCTTCCCAGGACTGAGCCAGCCCGCTCCCGGCTTGCCAGGCTCTCTGCCCAGCCCCGGATGTTTACCCGCGCCTCTGCAGGGTACACCTCTTCTGCCTAGAGAGAAAGCAACACATTGTTTGAATCAAGGCTGCTGATCAAATGCTACCCCCAAAATTGTGTCTTTCTACAGACCACTGTGTACACTCCTTTCAGACACCATCCATATGACAAAACCACAGTTAGTATTTTTCCCAACAAGAGACCCAAAAAGCGTCATTAAAAAACTGCTGATTTCCCAATGTTTTGTGGGAAATTTCAAAGAACAAGAGTTATGCTTTTATTGATAGAATTTCAACAAAAAACACACCCTTTGTTGATGAACAGAAGATTCCAAATGAAAGCACTTTATAAAGAAACAAGCCCACTAACAGGTCACCGTGGGTCATTAACTCAAAAAATGTGGAAAGTGGGAAAGAAACAAGACACTCCAGGTTTGGTGGCCCTGAATTCCTACCTCTGCCAATGAGAAAGTTAGAAATAATGAGATCATAGATAAAAGTAGGAAAAAAGCTTGCTAGCTGAGTCTCTTCATTCTGTAAGTTCATCTTTATACCAAGAAACTTGAAGTCACTGCTGAAACTTGACCTTCCGTAACACAAAGAGTGTGCCCTTCCATTCGCATCAAAAAGGACCAGTAGAATTGCCAGGGCATTTTCTTAGAGTAAGGGATACAAAGGGGCCGAGAAACTGCATTTTATCAAAGTGGCGTGCACAAGGAAGTAACCCTTTAAAGTACCAATTCTCCCTGTCACTCCAGTCACACAACACTTTCTCCTGTCTGATTTTGTGGAGAAAAGTGTTAGCCAGGACAGTAAGGGATTAGATTTTAACACCGAATCTCAGTTTTTGACTAAGAGCTGCCAGAACAACCAAATGACATAAATTAGCTATTCCGTTTACATCAGTTATTCCCAAACACTGATTAGGGACGAACTTTCCAGAAATCACTAACAAAGGGGCATTTACTGCTTCCTTTGTGAACCACACAGCGGGCCATCCACAGGCACATTTCCATAAGCAGAGAACTTGTCCCTTTTTTTCCTGAACTTATTCTTTCTTGAGAATAATGACCCTTACCTTAAAATCTGTCTTTTCAGTTTCTTTGATCTTAAAAGGCCCTTTTTGTTGGCCAGATTCCCCCTCACATATGATCTCAGGGCCTTGGTGCTGAGCTGAATCACCAACCCTTTTCACTTCTTAATTTTGGTACAGGATTTTGCAATATTGCAAGTTGCCCAGGCCAGGCTCAAACTGGGGATCCTCCTGCCTCGGCCTCCCAGAATGCTGAGATCACATGCATGTGCTACTGCTCTTAGCTTCAATTCTTTTTTACATATCCATAACTGACAAAACGAAAAGCTGTCAATTATGTCAGCCGGTAGCTTAGTCCCTAATTTGGGGAACATATTCTGGAACACCTAAGAGCTACTGTGAGTTGGCCTTCATTTCTTCTCTAACGCACCTTACTGCCTTAAGGAGGGACTGGGAACTTAATGAGCCCCAGTCTAATGGAACACTTGCTACCCCAAAATGCAGAGAGAAAAGAGCACACTGCTTCAAGAAATCAAAACACCAGCCAGCCGTCAGAAGCCTTCTCATGCCAATGCACAACACTCATTCACACCCATCAAACACTGACGCGGTTTAAGTTTAATGAGGCTGGGGAAATCTTCCAGGCCTCCCATCTTCAGTGTCCTGCTGTATCTACAGCCCAATACGCAGTGCAATCTCCACCTCTTCCCTCTGCTTCGGTCAGTCACTGAGAAACTGCTCTCTAGAAAAGGGATGACCACAGACCAGCAGCTGTCAGGAGAGGAGGCTGAAGGCAACTGGCAGCAGTGTTCCTGCTCTGGGCCGCCCTTCTCTCATGGATAAATTGCCTAGGGGTGGGGAGACACAGCAGGTTCACTGGACTCCTCCTTGGCATGGGTGGGCACGCATGTGGGCTGCTCCGCGCATCATGTGCTCCCACAGAGCCTGCAGGAAGGGGACCAAGTGAGGGCTCTGTGGGGAAAAACAAGGGGCATTTTAACCCCCAGATGGAAACACCTGCTGTCACTGCTTAGAAATATCACTAATAGAAACAAAGCCTGTTACAGCTTTGTAAAACTGCTTTAGTTCTACCTATCAGGTTTTTAGTTCATTATTTAAAATAATAGCTTATTGATTAAATAATTTTACAAGTATGTCTTTAAAAGAGATTTTGGCCACATTCACATTTAATACAACTGATTAGTAAGACAGAGGGTCATGAAAAGATCGTACTTGTTGAACACTCAACCACGTGACAGGTGCTGAGCTACAGGACTCACTGACATTGTCTCACTGAACCCGCCGCGGGAAACGGGTACTGTTCCCCAGGGTCCGGAGCAGGCATAGCATTGCCCAGAGACTTGCGGCAATGCCTGGCAGGGCCCAGGTGAGCAGCTGGGGCTGTCACCTCCAAAGGCCCGCCTTCTTCCCATGAAACTACCAACTTCCTGACAATTTAATGTTAATATTGAAGCCTACTAAGTTTATTTAACCAAACTAACTGCGGCTTTTGTGTTGGGCAACTTTTAAAGTGGAAGCATACGGTATTTTAAAATAACCACAGTTAACAGTTCTGTTAAAAATGGAACACACATCAGTGCCTGTGAAGTTAGTTCACCACATATCTTACAACTGTAATTTAACACAAAATGATAACCCTCTCAGTGTTTGATGCCACCTGCGAGGAATGCAGCCTCAGCACATGGAGCTCAGGGCAGCTCGAAGGCCCAAGGGCTGTGGGGGGGACAGGGCACTCACACCCTGGCCCTGCGTGCCGGAGCCCAGGACATCCCTTTCAGTAACAGAGCATTAAGTCCAGGGGTTTGTAACCTCCTCAAAGTCTAAACATGCCTAGATACTGTGTGCACCTTTATAAATCATTCATATAAATCAGTTACAAGACTGTTCAAATTTTTAGAAATCAGGAATGAAAATAGATGACCAAGTATCTACTTTTAAACCACAGATGAAATGCAATTTCTGGGCCTTAAAACTGAATGGAAACTGGCCTGTGAACAAAAAGGAACACATGAAGGGAGCTATTTTAATGCTTAAATCTAAGTCCCCAATTACAATTCAGTTCTCTTTGTGACCATTTAATCAATAAATAAAAACCGCATACTATAAACCCTCACCGAAACCTAGGCCAAGCAGGAATCTGAACACATCAGCTACTCTGATGAATTAGAAAATGAAAGACCCCAACCTGCAGCCTTGGAGATGTAGAGGCCGCTCTTACGGATGCAGCAGGAGCTGGAAATCAGTGACCACCCCCACAAGCAGGCACGGACATTTGTCAACCAGGACTACAAAGCAAAGAATGGGCGACATCTGACGAAACAATAGTGAATAGGCTTTGCAGAGCTTTCACAACTTCCACATAAATAATGTGGAGAACACGGTCCTAGCTCTAAAAAGTTTAAATCCTTTTATTTTACAATAATTTTGCTTAAGAAGGAAAATACTTAAGTTGTCAGTTCCCATGAGCTGTTATTAAAAATTATAAAACTGACAAGCAAACCTCCACCAGTCAAGGAAAACTGGAACAAAAGCAACCCCTGGCTATGCGCACTAGCTCACTCGTTTACAGACGCCAGCTGAAAGCCATCTGGCCCGAAGGCCAGAGCTGGACCCAGCGGTGCAGGAACTTCCCAGATCTTGCGCTCCTTTACTCCTTCACCATCAGCTGCACGGAGACCACGCTGACCTTGTGCCTGGGTGTAAGCACGCTGAGAAATCCTCGGTTTTGGTCCACGGTTTCCAAATACAAGGTCCAAATACAAAGCAAGATGCCTACGTAGTGGCCTATAAATTACTATCAACGCGGATAGACATTCTAGCCTCAGGCCATTTTCCATTGTTTCAAGCTGCAACAGAAATGGTTACAGAGCAGACCTAGGGAAAACCAGAAAGCACGGGTTTCCAAGAGAGACCCAAGTACCTGAGTATCCTGGGGAGGTTCTGCGTCAGAGCCGGGACCCCGGTAGAGATAGAAAAGTGCACAAGCAGCAACACAGAGAGAGATACTAGGATAGCAGAATTAATGACCACCGCCCCGCCAACGAAGCCAAACACAAACAGCAGCATGCATCCAGGACTCATGGCGCTGCGCTGGCATGGTGGAATGCCCGGACCAGGAGGCCTACACCGGGGCCAAGGGGGGATCTTTGTAGTGAGGATCTGTCATTCAGTGGCTGCCACAAAAACAATGCCATCAACAGCAGCTTTCCACTCCATCCTGCAGCGGCTCCGGCGGTGACGTCACCGCTCTGCCCGCCTCGCAGCCCAGAGCTGCTGCTCCCGGTGTGCAGGCAGCGCCGGCCTCCACGCGCGGCAGCCTATCAACTGCTCTCCTCGCCACTCGAGTGCCAGCCCCGTTCATTGGCCACGAGGCCCGGGATCTACATAATTTATTCCCGCTCTTGCTTCCAACCAAGGGCAGGCGAGCCCTTTCAAATATGCCTCTCGGTAACAAAAGGACCAGTTACACAGGAACTATGAGAACTTCTCAGCATTCCCACAAATCAGAAAATCCCAAATCCAGTGTAATCGCCTATAAAAAACAAAAATCAAAATACCTGAGCACACTATTTATATAAGCACAGTTCCCAGAATCTACCTTTTCAATAGGGAGGGCTGTTTCCATTCTCTCCTATAGCATTCCAGCCACAAGGGCGAGCTTTCAGAACCAGCCTAACTATTGTTCTGGGATTAAAGAACAGAAAAAGCGGCAGCAAAACAGATTATTTATTTCGTTTTTTCTCAAGGCAAAGTGTGTAACAAAGCTTACCTAATCCTACTGTGCGCTGTGGATTCCAGTTGGTCACTCCCTGAGAGCTGATGAAGTTTTGTTCTTTCTAAGTGTTCCATATAATTATGGATCATCTATTTTAAGAAAGGAAAAAAACCCACAAAATTTAAGATGAATACTTGGAAGAAAAACACGGTATTATTACATAGGAAGTACTTTTGTACAGTTTTCTTATATACCAGGTCACCCAATTCCATGAAAAAGAATATGGTTACATTTAATATGCTGGTGTCCATTAAGAGTAGACAATGGCTTGTTTAGCATAGCAAAAACTTTTTTTTTAATATATAATACTATTAAATGAAATAACTGAAACTTAAGTTAGTATACTGACATTGGGTGGGGGTAATAGGAGACCACTAACGAGAAACAGAAGCTGTCTAAGCAATCTACTCATTAAAAAGGAAAACAAGGGGCTGGAGGTTTAGCTCAGCAGCATAAGCACCTGACTTGCAAGCAGGCAGTACGTGAGTTCGATCCCCGGTACTGATAAAAAGCAAAAAGACAAAAGGAAAACAAAATTCATGTGAAACTTGAGAAAAAAACCACACCTTTCATATGTTGTTTTCCATTTTAAGAGAGTAACAAAGATGACTTTTAATTTAATTAAAACCAAGATGTTCACTGTTTCTGTAAGTTTAACTGAAAAAATGCTAAAATATTTTCTCTTTTATGAACTTACTGGTATCACTTAAGTATATCACCTATAGGAATGATAGTAACAAACTAACACAAATGAAACAATGACAACACTACTTTTGAGTCTCCAGACAGAGCAGCTCAGTATGGCGGTGAAGACTTTATGAATATCAAATACACACACTGTTTAAAAATTCTAAGCCTTTTTTTTTTTTTTTTTTTTTTTTTTTTTTTTTTTTTTTGAGACAGGGTCTTGCTATGTAGTTCAGGGAAGGCTCTATTCTTAATCATCTAAATTTTCACCTTTGAGGATATTAATCTGGAATTAACACACATAAAATGGCAAGAAATTTCAACTGAAATTTAAAAATCTTCATTAGAGATGTTATCATGTCACAAAATGAATTTTAAAAAACAAGAAATGGTATGTTAGCATTTTAAAATAAAGAAATAAAAGGCAAGAAGACCTGGTGTCTTTCTAGAAAATCCTACCTGAATCTTTAACACTGGAGCACAGAACAGCTCTGAAAGCTATCCAGCTTTAGCACTATTAAGATGTGTTTCAATATAACTAAAAATGCTGTCTATCATACTATTAAATTATTGGAAGAAAAAATACTAAACAAATATTTAAATTTTATTTTCAAACAGCAAACTTTTGTTGTGAAAATTCTACTTGAAAAGTACAAAAAAAAAGTAATTTAACTTTAAGGTGTTAATTATTATTAAACTAACTCATGCGTAATAAAACAAGTAATCTGTCAAATTTAATCAAATCAATTAGACTATTCCTCAATTAAGACTAAACAAGAAATTTGTTAGTAAAAAAAATGGACATAGAATCATATGAATATAGTATTTAAAAGCATTTTAAAATCTGTTTTATTTTGCTTTGGTTTTCTTTCTTTTTTTTATACCAGGGATCAAACTCATAACCTCACACTTGCCAGGCAGGCACTGGCACCACTGAGCTAAATGCTTGGCCCATGGTTTGGTTTCTCTAGAGAGGGCCTCACAGGGTACTCCAGGCTGGCCTCCACCTCCCAAGCCCAGTATTAAGCTGTGCCCTACCACACCTGGATTATATTTTTAACCTTAAATTTATATATTTTTCTTGTAAATGTATAGATTTTTCTCTTTATTACCATTTTCAGAAAAAATTCACAGAAACAGTCTCTTTGGTCTTTGTGTCAGCAAAAATGAATTCTCATATCAGGAAAAAATTTTAGAGAAAAAAGTTTAAACTAAGACTAATATATCAAAGTAATTACTGGGTCTAATAGATGTTAATTTACACTTTTAAAAGATTTTACAAAGCCGAAATAAAATTTCTTACATTCTGGGCAGTATCATATAGAACTGATCTGTCCAAATGAAATTTCTAAGAAACCTAAAATTAGGTTGACTTTCTAGTAATTGATTTACTTAAAGAAAAATAATTATAAATGATATGTAAAAACAGAATCAGTTCTCTCTCAAATAGCTCATTCTAGATTCTCTATTATCTTACATGCTTGATAAAGATTTAAAATTTAGAAAATGTTGAATTGTATACCACCTTCAAATGACTGATTAAGGCCAGGCATGGTGGCACACACCTGTAATCCCAGCACTCAGGAGGGTGAGGCAGGAGGATCACTGCAAATTCAAGGTTAGCCTGGGCTACACAGCAAAATCCTGTCTCAAAAAGTCAAACGACTGATCAAATAACACAAACATGGTACTCTGAGGTCCCAAGATGACCCCAGCAATGGAACTACACTCCAGAGTAACTAGCAGAGGACAGAAGAGTAGTAACAGAAGGACAGCTACTGCATGAGCACCAACTGGGCTCATTCAGCCCTCAGATGTCTCAGCGTCACAGAGCAACTGCAGCTCAGGTTACAATAACGTGACCAGGGAAGTGAGGGGCCAGGGCAGAGGTCTGCCCACAGGCTCGGTCATCAGTCTTGGTCACCGGCTCTGGGGCTGAGCGTTGTGGATCCCTGCCCTGTGCCACCTCTGTGCTCGCAGGCCATCGGGGCTGGCAATGTGCTCCTTGCCCTTTCTGCCTACCACCCACCAGAAAACCCCACACCCGAAGGCATTTCCTGACATGTAAAATCAAATAATGCACACAGCATTCCATGAATGCTAAAAAAAAAGTAGAAAAAGTATAAGCTGTACATGAAATTTAAATTCTAATAATAGAGCTCCACAGTGTAGCTTGGTTTAGAAAGGAAAAAGAACGGAGGGGGGCAGGGTAGGGGCAGGACAGGCGGTACCAGACAGAAAACAGAGGAAGTAAGATGGGCAGGAGCTCTCTATGCTTGATCCACCGGGCTCATCTTGTTGGTCTTAGAACTGCAATTCTCAATTTTCTCCAGTATGCAGATCAGTTCAGACATACTCAGGAGTCAGTGCAGCAACTAACAGTTACAGTCACCAAGAAGGCTCCCAAGGAAGCTGAGGAGGTAGGGTCACAAGTTCAGGAGTTCCTTGGGCAGCTGAGAAGATCTTGTCTGCACAGAGAAGGGACGAGAGAGTGGCTCTGCCACTGCCCCAAAAGCACTTCCTAGGCGGGGAGGAGGCATGGGGAAGTGGAGGGTTCCAAGTGGGCTGTCTGGACAATGCTGGCTGGGACAGGTCCCAAAGCCCCTTCTAAGGCACTCGTGTCCCATAGGGCCGAGCCAGGCAGCTCTGGCTAGAAGCGCAAAGCATGGCAGCAGTAGAGCTTGGAGGATGAGTGGAAGCAGCCTTCAAACCCTGCGGCCTTGGCATCGCAGGCCCACGTTCAGTGCACAGGCCTGTAGAGCCACTAATCTTAAAAGTGACTCAGGTGCTACGCAGCCAGGGGGCACCAAAAACGAGTGCACTCAGCCCCTAAACCTAACCGTTTCTCTGAAGGTTCACGCAATGCAGCGGGTAGGACCTGGCTGTGAGTCCTGCCCAGACCCTTCAGCCTCCATCTGAAAACCGCAGTCTGTGAAATGAGGTGTGTGTGTGGGGGGGGGGGGGGTGTTGCAATAGCACCCAGTGCCCCCTGCAGTGCGAGCCCCTCCCGACAGCCCACACTTGGCCTTAGGGGAGACTGAGGGCAACAGCGTGGCTGTGCTGTGGCCGCAGCGTCCCACTCGGAGGCCTTTGGGCTGGCTAAGAGGCTGTCTGTCTTAAAACACCCTCAGGCATGGGCCAAAGTTCTGATTAGAGAAAGGTAACCGTCCCGGGTCTCCCTCAAGCACCCGTCTGCGCCTGGGCATGAGCCTCTCTGGGGGTGACAAGGCAACACGCCTAAGGCTTCAGAGGCCCTGCCCTTCCCTCCCCTTGTGTTTCCCAAAGCTGCCCTCTAAAGAACATTTGGTGCTTTCTGGAAAGCAAGAGAGGTGTTTCAAACTGCTGACCCACCAAATGCAGCACAGGCTGCCGTGCACCTGACCAAACCTCAAAGCAGCCAGGTCTGAGCCATAGAAACCTTTCCGGGGGAAACTGAAGGAAGGGAAGGAGCCTGAGGGACAAAGGATGAGATGGGGGCTATGGAAAGAGGAGCGGGGAGCGGGGCTGGACAGGCTCGCTTGTACGTCAATAAGCAGTTTTCCAGAGACCTTTCTATCTTCCTGAACTGCTCTTTCCTGAAGGTATAGAAATAAACAATAATTTCTCTCCTTTCTTCTGAAGTTAAATCTTTGATTTTTTCCTTTAGAAATATGTCTTCACATTTTAGAAACAGATATACAAAAACATGAACTTTCACTTTATAGTGGATCATACAAGAAAGCATAATTTTAAACACACTACAACTCAATATCTCATAGTTTCATAATCTTGAATCATTACAAAGGTTAGAACTTCATTTAAAAACAGAAACATTATTTGTCAGTATCAGGTACTCAGGACATTCTTCCAAACAGAATTATCGGTGCTGCTAAGCACGACAAGCAGGCATTGCACAGAGGGCTGCTCAGGCACTTAAGTGGATGTGTATGATCAATAAACAGTAAGATTTGCCTTTTTTTCCCTTCTGTCTTTTTGAGACAGGTCTCATTATGCAGTTCAGGCTGGCCTGGAGCTCACTTTATAGGCTAGGCTCTCTCGAACTTGCAAAGATCCTCCTGCCTCAGCCTTCGGAGTGCTGGGATAGATTTTAATACGTAATTTTTAGCTGGGCAGGCCTATAACCAGCACTCAGTAGGCTGAAGCAGGAGGATTGTCAAGAGTTCGAGGTCAGCTTGGGGCATGTAGTGAGTTCAAGGGAAGTCTGTAGCACAGATCTGTCTCAAAACAAAAACAAAAACCCAACAAAACCAAAATTTTAAAAATCAGCCTAATCTCCACCTAATAGCATACCATAACATGTGGAGGTGACATGTGCTATGTAACTCCCTCCAATCTTCCCAGAGCTCTGCGGCTCCCACCCTTGTGGGTAATCTTTTTCTTCTATACCAATGTCAATTCTGCGACATCCTGATTCTGGTGTGGCTAGAAAGCCACGACAGGAAGAGTGAAACCTAATAGGAAGAGATGCCAGCCCCTCCCCAAATGCTAACAGCCAGATTCCATGGCAACTGGAACTCAGTGGAGTGGGATTTTATTTCCGGAAAAGCAACAGCATAGGTCTCCCCTAGAAGACAAGAGCGTGCAAACTTATGAAAGGAAAATGGGAACTAAGGGCTGGAACCAGAGTTGGGATGTGGCGAGGTGTTACACATGTTAGCATTTACTCAGCATGTACTTAGCATGTGTAGGGCTCTGGGCTCAATCCCCAGCACCAGGAAGGGGCCAACAGATGAAGACCAGAGCCACGGAAAAGACAACAGGAGAAGGGGTAAAAGGAGGGACTTCTTTTCATGAAACAAATACTGCATAAGTCTATGAAAATTGTATTTATTTAGGGATGTGAATCTGACTGACCATGACACACAACAATGTTCACACTAACGACAGAAACAAACGCAACACATGAAAGGGAAAGAAAAGGAGGTGAGGAGATTGGTCCCATTTGGTCTAGAGAATTACGTGATGGAACTACTCCTTTAGAGTATTGAAACCTCGGGCACAAAGTCCACCTTAGAATCTTTCTGACTGTTTTAACATTTGTACTGTTACAAATGTAATGTAGATGAGTTCTTTACACTAGATTGTAATTGGACAGCCCTTACCAATAATTTACCCATGCAACATTCCCCAAATGCCCAACAAACGAGTCTGCTCTCTCGCCTCAGTATCATGTCATCTTTTTACTGTGTGTGTATGTGTTTTTGCTGTGTCAGCCGAGGAAATAAGCATTGGAAATACCTTGCGTAACTAAATTATTCTGTGGCATGCCAATTTACTACAAGAAAAGTTAATTCCATAATTTAAGAAATGGTAACGTTTGGTAACCATGTAAATGCCATGTGACACTCAATGTTTTCCAGAAACAATCCCCAAGAATTATTCTGGTTTCCAGGGGAAAATGAGCACGTGCTGCCTGAGGCCCGCATCTGCCTCCTCCGAACCCAAAACCCACCTCGGTGTGCCTCTGGTGTAACGCATTGTATTCCTTCTTCAGTTCCGCTTCTCTTTCTTCAAGTCTGCTAACTGCAAGTAAGATACACACACTTAATTAAAACCAAATATGAGCAACCTGCTTGCAATGTCAGGCTGTGAAACTTAGGGTCCGGAGGAAGAAGCAGGAGCAACGCCCACCGGCTGAGGGCTCTCCAGTGTGTACGCCCGTCAGGTCACCCTTCTAAAATGGTTTTGGCATGACCAAGAATAACCGCTTCCGCACGTGGAAGTCAGCTCACACGAATATTAGGCTGGGACTGATCCCCAGGGAGGGAGGATCAGCAGTGTGCAGGCCCGCAAGTGCTACCGCGCCTCCCGGCTCCACTCTCTGCTCCCCGCCGCCTTTCCTCTAGCTCCCTCTGCTGGAGTAGCGGCGACATCGTACAACCTCAGGACCTGCAAATGCCCAGGACAGCTTTGGGTCCCTAAACACAGGGCCAACATAGGGTTCACAGGAGGCCACGACTCAGGAGACAGGAGGTCCAAGCGAGACCACAAAGCAGTTCCAGGCAAGACAATGGTGACGAGAAGTCCAGACCCTGCCACTACAGAGGAGCACAAAGCTGCGCTGCCATGAGGTGACCAACTGGCTGGCAGGAGGAGCCACCGCAGCTAGGGACACCGTGTGGGCAGAAGCCAGCCCCTGCATGCCTCCTTGCAGCCAGGCATGGTGGTGCACACCAGTACTCCCAGCACTTTTGAGGCTGAGGCAGGAGGATCACCGCGGTTTTGAGGCCACCCTGGGCTACAACAGTGAAACCAGGCCAGCCTGAACTACATAACTAGACCCTGTCTCAAAAAAAACCAAAGAAAATACTGCCCAGAAGCGCTGGATTCCCTCGAGTGTCCCCTCCATTGGAGTCCACTAGCTGCCTCTGCAGCCTGCGAGCTTGAGGCTGAGCACCATGGGTAAGGACCGAGAGCTGCCACCCACTCCAGAGGGGCACGGACCATCAGCTTCCTGCCCGACAGTCCACCCAGACTTCTGGCTTGTGCTGCCAGGCGCACTCAGTCTACCTCCACCAGCCACAATCCACTGGAATCTACCATCAATGAGGGAAACAGTGGTGGTTTTGTTTTGATTTATTCCTAATCCAGGAGCTGGCTCCTTAAGTTTGTGACAGAAACGGGCAAACTGTAGTGCAGATGCGCAGGGCAAGGACTAACACCGCGGCGATTTGGATGCTACTTCAAAACCAGAAAAGCCAAGCAAACTCAGCAAGTGGTCCTATGACTTCCTGCCGATCACATTTACCAGCAGGTTTCAACTCATTCTGAGATTCTGGACAACTGTTGATTTGCAGTTACTCAACTTTATCTCTGTTAATCAGTGTTTTCTTAATAACCTACCAACAAAGTAAAACACTGGGTGCTGAGGCTAAAATAAAATCCCACCATCATCCGTAAACCTTAAATTAGATCTCTGCTAACTTCCCCAGTCAACAGCAGCCAACACTGCACACCGCTGTGACCACACCACCCAATCCCGCACACTCAATGTCAGCCGCAGGGTGGGCCAGAGTCATCATACCCACTGCAGAGATGAGCAATCCGGCAAACAGTGGTTTACCTGTCCAAAGTCGCAATGGAGACGCCTTTCTACCAGAGGACTCCTGCTCTAGAACTGGTATTCTTTTTTTTTTTTTTTTTTCGTCTTTTTCATTTTTATCGGTACCGGGGAACTTGTATTCTTAATTCTCATGCTACAGTGCCTCTCAAGATACTTCTTTCACCAGGCATGATGGTGTACAACTGTATTCCCAGCACTCAAGAGGCTGAGGCAGGAGGATTGCTATGAGTCCGAGGCTGGCCTGGGTTACAAAGTGAGCTCAAGACCACTCTAAACTATCTCAAAAAAAAAAGTAAAGAAAAAAAGGGAGGAGCAGGAATACAGCTCAGCAGCACAAGCACCTGCTCGAGGTCGTGAGTTCAATCCCTGGTACCAAAAAAAGAGAAATACTCCTTTCAAGGTAGTGCACACCTATAATCTTAGCACTCCGGGAAGTGGAGGAAGAAGGATCGCCAAGCTTTAGCACATCCTGGAACACTCGGTGACTTTGCAAGACTCTATTGCAAAGTAAAATACAAAAAGGGGCCAAGAACATAGCTCAGTATAAAAGTCCCGGGTTCAATCTCCACTTCCACAAAAAAGATAAAAGAAAAATGTTCTTTTTTAATCTCTTTTGTACATTGGCATCTGCTTTAACATTTCACAGAGCAGGGCATGGTGGCACACCATAGTAATTCACACATAGTAATTCACTCAGGAGGCTGAGGCAGGAGGATCACTTCAAGTTCAAGGCCAGACTGGGTTAAAAAGTGAATTCAAGGTCATTCTGAACTGCATAGAGAGAAACCCTGTCTCAAAAAGACAAAAACTTTATTAATCATGGAGAGACACAGTTGCCATAGTTTAGATATAGCCTGTCCCCAAGGGGTTCCTGTGCTGGAAGCCCAGGTCCCTGGAATGGTGGTCTGGAGTAAGGTGTGGGACCTTAAGAGTGGGGATCAGTGAGAGGTCTGCACGTTACGGGGATGCTGTCCTGGGAAGTGATCAAGGTCACTCTGGCAGGATCCCCGATACACTAATCATACAAATCAAAAGGACAAGCAATATGTGATCTGTCTCAAAAAAAAAAAAAAAAAGTAAAAAAAAGGGAGGAGCAGGAATATAGCTCAGCTGACTGCAGGAGCTGCAGTCATAGAGAAGGGGCCAACATGATCCACATCCCACTGGTGACCTAGGAACTAAGCGGTCGGGAGGCTGGGGAAGCCCAAGGAGCCTCTGCCAAGGAGACGGTCACTGCACTCAGTCTGCAGAGCTTAGGCTTTCCGGACTGGAGAGGAACTCGGGCACAAAGCTAGACCCTCGACTCAGAAAAACAAAAACAAAAGCAAAACACAAAGTCCAATATAAGAGAATGAACTAATATTTAGTAAATGTTGAGTAAATTCATGAATATTCAGTGCAGTTTTAAAAGTGATGATCAAATCAAGTCGGAGGGAAACATTTTTAAAATTCATTATCTGAGTAGACATGAGAAACGCTCTATTTTAACTGAGATCTCCTTCCTCCTCACGCAGCTCACAGCAGAGCAGACACAGATGGTTGCCAGGCTCTAAGAACATTCACTCCCTTGCCACAGCACTTGGGCCCAACTGCCGCCCACTGAGGCTGGCAACTGAGCAGGGCTGGCCAATGCACCCGAGGCAGTTTCCTCTCATTCTGGGACACAAAGCTGTTCTATCAGCTTTGATCCTGTGGTCAGCTTCGGCTGAGCTCTCCCTGGTAAAGCCGTCGAAGATTACATCTACTACACAGTTCCCCCACGCCCAGTCCCAGTTGCTGATGGCAAGATGAACCTGGGAGCTATAAACGGAGAGTGCCTGTCCCAAAGACACTACTGCTTGTCACCACACCCACTTTTAAAAATTTATTTATTTATTTCTATTTGGCTTTTTTTGAGACAGAGTCTCTGCATGTAGTTCGGCCTGGCCTTGAACTCACCTTTGGCCCTGAACTTCCAGCGACCCTTCTGCCTCAGCCTCCTGAGTGCTGGGTTTACAGGCATGCACTGCCACGCCTGGTTTAGGAATATACTTTTGAAACTATGCAAGGAATAGCGTGAGAGTCCCTGCACAGCTGAATGATGGGTTACATCCTCAGAAACACCCTGTGATTTCATCACAAGCTGCACCTTCACAAGCTAGGACAGTCAGGGTATCACAGGTGGGGTGATCCCTGGCATGCTGGCATACATGCAGGCTGTATCTCACTGTTAGGCAGTATACAATTGCATATAATTTTCACAACTCGGTTCTAGCAACCAGAGTTAGCTTCCCATAAATTGGCTTATAAACAGGTATTAAAGTCCTCAAAATAAAAACACTCTAAATCACCCAAATTGTGTCACCCCACTGCACTTTTAGAGTATTTTATGTAGCCAAGCATACTGACACATGCCTATAATCTTAGCTACTCAGGAGGCTGAGGCAGGAAAGACTACAAGTTTGAGGCCAGTCTGGGCAACTTAGTAATTTAGGGAGAGCCTGTCTCAAAATTTAAAAATAAAAAGGGCTGGACATGCAGCTCAGTGCAAAAGTCCTGGATTCAATCTCCAGCACCACTGAATAAATAGGTAATTTATCTATTTATACACTTGTGATCCCAGATCTGAGGGAGGCTGAGGCACAATGGTGGTAAATTCAAGCCCAGCTCTGGCAACTAAATGATGCGGCAAGCAGCCGCCTCAAAATTGAAAACAAAAAAGTGAAAGGGCTGGGAGCGTAGCTGGACCAGCACTCCCTGGATTCACTCCTCAGTACCCCAAAATAACATAAAACAAAGAATACCAAATAAGCAAAAATAAACAAATATTTTCATCTTTGTTATTCTGGGTGAATTTCTGAAAACTATTCTGATAATTATTCTCTCCTCCCTAACACCTACAAGTATCTATAAAGAAATTATAAATGATTTTCTGTATTTCATGCTTTCTTTACTTATACTGTGATCTAAATATTATTACTGTCAGCTGGGCATGGTGGTCACTCCTAGAATCCCAGCACTTGGGAGGCTGAGGCAGGAGGATTACAGTGAGCTCAATGCCAACCTGGGCTACACAGTGGGTTCAAGGCCAGGAAAAACTGCATAGCAAAATCTTTTCTCAAAAAACTAAAAATTACTATTGTCCTTTTAGGTGTATAGAGTACAAATCATATAAAGGCCATGTAATATGAACCTGTAATCATGTATTATACATACACGTCCTAAATGGGATGATGTAACACACCAAGACGATACACAACAAATTCAGAAACTTACTCTTTTTCTTAAAATACGGTAACTCAGGACACCAAGGCCCAGTATCCCACCAACTCAGGTTCCTCATAGCCTTGGCCACAGAAGATGACATCACCACCTGCATGAGTGCCTGTTAGCACAGGGAAGAGCCATCTGGGGAGTCCCAAGTGCCACTAAGGAACCAGTAAAGGGAAAGGGGAAGGGAAGAGGGATGAGGAAGCGGGAA